TTCATCCACACCAGACTCTGTCATCCATGTCTTTATGGACCTTGCTTTGTGCACTGGTGCACAGTCATGTTGGAAGAGGAAGGGGCCAGCTCCAAACTGTTCCCACAAAGTTGGGAGCATGGAATTGTCCAAAATGTCTTGGTATGCTGAAGCATTCAGAGTTCCTTTCACTGGAACTAAGGGGCCAAGCCCAGCTCCTGAAAAACAACCCCACACCATAATCCCCCCTCCACCAAACTTTACACTTGGCACAATGCAGTCAGACAAGTACCGTTCTCCTGGCAACCGCCAAACCCAGACCCGTCCATCAGATTGCCAGATGGAGAAGCGCGATTCGTCACTCCAGAGAACGCGTCTCCACTGCTCTAGAGTCCAGTGGCGGCGTGCTTTACACCACCGCATCCGACGCTTTGCATTGCACTTGGTGATGTATGGCTTGGATGCAGCTGCTCGACCATGGAAACCCATTCCATGAAGCTCTCTGCGCACTGTTCTTGAGCTAATCTGAAGGCCACATGAAGTTTGGAGGTCTGTAGTGATTGACTCTGCAGAAAGTTGGCGACCTCTTCGCACTATGCGCGTCAGCATCCGCTGACCCCGCTCCGTCAGTTTACGTGGCCTACCACTTCGTGGCTGAGTTGCTGTCGTTCCCAAACACTTCCATTTTCTTATAATACAGCTGACAGTTGACTGTGGAATATTTAGGAGCGAGGAAATTTCACGACTGGATTTGTTGCACAGGTGGCATCCTATCACAGTTCCACGCTGGAATTCACTGAGCTCCTGAGAGCGACCCATTCTTTCACAAATGTTTGTAAAAACAGTCTGCATGCCTAGGTGCTTGAATTTATACACCTGTGGCCATGGAAGTGATTGGAACACCTGATTCCGATAATTTGGATGGGTGAGCAAATACTTTTGGCAATATAGTGTATCTATCCAGAACTCTTCTTTGTGAGTTAAATAAAGGTCAATGTAATGTTTGGCTTCAGATAAACAACGAAGACTAGCTGCTCAGGATTTGTGGTTATGCGGTGATTAAAAGTGGGATTGAGTTAACATTGCCTCTAACGGTGTCGAGTCAAAGATGGAGAGTCACTGCAAATAATTCATCTCAGTGTATAGGTGAGATACATTATGGAGAAAACTAGACAGACACCTGTGGGCAGTCATAACACATTACTGTCATTCAAGGGTGAACAGAGACATAACAGAAATGGTGTTTGGAGAGAGGTGCTAAAATATCCAACATGTCATCTTTGCACAGATAGTTACATGTGTACCTTGTTGTTTAGCACAGAAAGTAGTTACACTGAGAAATAAACTGTCATGTTGGAGGTTGGACCTTGAATATTTCTAAGTAACAATGCAGTCTCCAGCAGAATGGAATTACCATAGCAGTTTAGAGAAAAGCTCTTTGAGCTGTGCTAGATAAGTAGGTGTGAAACAAAGGTATTGTATCCCTGCAACACAATGACCTGAAGCACACATACATCTGGGATGAGAAATTAAAGATGTTGACATTTAGAATGGGCTAACAATGATTTTCTGGGCCTAACAATGAGTAAAACCTTTGGAGGATAGGGAATCTGCTTGAGGAAAATGTTCTTGTGCAAAAGCCAATTGAATACATTATTTAGGAAAAATAACAGAAAGTACCAGCAAATAACACAAGAAGCTTTTTTAGTGGTTGCAAAAGGTTCTGCAGCCAACTTTGAGAAAAAGGTGCCATTGAACTTGTTTTTCTTTAGTTCAGGGTTAGGGTTAAATATAGCCTATTTATCAGTTCTGTGTGAAGAGCTTTGATTTGCTTGCATTTCTTGCAATTTGCATTTGGACTGTTTAGAGCTTCTAAGTATTTAGTGTGACAAACTTTGCAGTTATGCACGTCCTCTCTTATCAGAAGGTAATGCTAACGTTTGTTGGCACACTGGCAGAAGGATATTGGTTTGTGCTCAACATTTCAAACATCTGAACATCTGATAACTTCTTGAAACAGCATCCATAACAACAATGTATACGAGGAGTTATAAGGCTGCAAATACAGCTTGTCCAGAAGTTCCTGCTGCTGGAAGCTTTAATGTAATTTTGGTCAGTAGTGTACCTCATTAAAATATGGTTTAACATTTGAATAATGGGGCTGATTTCAATTAATTCAAACAAACACCAGTCAACTAAAAGTTAGATGTTAATGAGGCCAATGACTTTAACTTAAATGTTGTCCTTGTAATATTCACTTTTATGGACAGAACAAATGATCATCGTGCTGTTTGGGCATCAAACTAAGTCAAGTTATTTGTTGTGTGGGTGAACATTCATCTGCAGGCTCCAGCCGTTTCTGCTGTCACAGATCAGTTCTTGCAGCATTCCACTAACAGTCAACACCTTTTCGCCTATGCTCCTCTGGTCTGTCTTCTACCCTTCGACCCTTCCCTCTCTTGCAACTCGATTATTCTCTCCACACCCCATTTTCTCTCCCTTATTCCTTCCCTTTCCATTATCTACTCCTGGTTCAATATCGACGGATCCTAAAGTTCAGAATGTCCTCAGAATTTCAAATAGTGTTTGTATCACTCAGAACTAAGGCTTAGTTGAAGAACGTTTTCCACCTACGTGATCAAATCTTTTTAAAAACACAATTTTCTAGATTTAAACGTAAGTAAACCATGCAAACATCACTTGAGATCGTCATGTTTTAATGGGCTGTCTTTTTCTCCCAAATAAACCTTTGGTGAGACATTTTCGGACGGTATACTATACAAACGTCTCAGATTGGATTTTCCAAGGGTAATCATAGAGAAACTGACTCAGTATCAATAGATCTGATTTCTGGAAGAGGAGGCTGTAACAGCAGTTGCTGCCATTGGGCAGGTTGTTGGATTGATCCCAGGTTACAGGTTGAGGTGTCTTCTAGCAAGGCATTGAACCCCCAGCTGCCTGCAATGCAGCATCAAATGTGTTAGTTTTTATTGTTGTGCCAAATCCTGAAAATCCTTAACCATGAAAGTCAAAGCTGATTCTCTATGGCGACCACTGACAGGAAAAGCTGAGAGGTGTTAACAACACCTGATTTCTGGGACTGCTGTCTGTGGGGCTCTGTATGAACCTGCAGGATAACATAATACTGTAATAGTCAGTTCATCCTTTTTTCTGCAGCACAGTTTATCATTCCGTTCTGTTTTTTTGCCTTATCTTGAGCAAAAATATCTGCAGGGATGGTTTACTATGAGCGAATATCTTTGCACCACACAATCCTGGACAATCATTGTTAGTCATGCACTCTAAATCAAATGCACTTCATCAAGAGACAGACCGTGAAAATGTGTTTAGCTTTCCTTTATTGTTCGGTGCATTCAATAACTGACAAATATTTGGTCAGGACAAAACGTTTTACCTCAGAAGTGGTTCCTCTTGACCTGCTATTGTTTGGGCTCATTATCACTGTGGTAGATGACAGCTTTTCATACATGATTGCTTTTGTTTTTGTGCCAAAATAAACGGCGTGAAACAAGTCTGTTTTGAGTGATAGATTTACGAATGGACAAACACGTTCAATGCAACAACAAAAACTAACACATTTAGTGTTTAAACATGTTGTGACAAATTTAACCTCAATGGGACATCTTTTACCTGAAAGTAGGACCAAACACACTCACAGAACCAAAAAACATTGGAAATAACCGGTTAGATGTGTCAATCTTTGGTCACTTGTCTTGGTCTTACCAAAACTACTCATAAGTCATCAATGCAAATTAGATTCATGGCATCTATAACCTCTGTGGCTTCAGCTGAAGACAAGAGGACAATTTCGTACGAAGAATTGTCTATCGATACATAGATTTAGATGTGTACTGATGTACTCAAACTAGTTGAGAAGGAGAAAAAAATTAAATGGAAATAACTGACTTTGGGGAATACATACTTCTGCAACTACATTAATTTAATTTAATTGGACACACTTTCCCACTTTACGAGAAGTCTAAATAAAGGTAATATGCTTGGTCAGGTTACCACTGACAGCCAGTACAACAGTTTCAACTGTTAAACTTTATTTTTATGATAACTAGTTTCCATGCAAGGAGCGAATCCTTTGAATTCACTTAATTTACTTGATTACTATCAAAATGGTGGTATGGTGGTTGACAATGTCACCTCACAGCAAGAGGGTTCCTGGTTTGATCCCCGGGGGACCGGGACCTTTCTGTGTGGAGTTTGCCTTTTCTCACTGTGTCTGCGTGGGCTTTGTCAGGATACTCTGACTTCCTCCCGCCATCCAAAAACACTCATGTTAGGTTTATTGGACACTTTAAATTGGCCCATGTGAGTGTGGTTGTTTGTCTCTGCTTGAATCTGCCAGAGGTAGGCTACTGGTGACCTGTCTGGAGTGTAGCCTGCCTGTTGTTAGCTGTGATAGGCTCCCGTGACCCTGTTGGGTTTAGAAAATGGATGGATATATGCTGTGAGCTCAGTTATTTATGCATACACTTATTTTTTTACAAATCCCGAAAGAAACCTTTAGAGTTATACAGTTGCTGTTTACTTTAGTAACTTAGGTTTTGTACAGCCAAACTATCAAAATGGTGCAAAGTGCAACATTTGTTTTGAAATCCCTGTTTAGGAGAATGATAAGTTTTAATCAGGGGAGAAGGGGGGCGGCGTTACTAAACGAGGGCTGAAAGCAAAAAACGTTGAGAATAACGTCGCTAGGAGACCTGAGCACATTTAACCCAAAGTCATGTTGTAGTCCACATGTGGGCACTTGTGTGCGTGTGTGTGCGTGAGTATGTGTGTGTACCTCCCCTCACAAAATGCGCCTGTGCGTCCTTGCTCATTGCTGCTCTTTCTCGTTCTATAAAGCCGCCAGCGTCTGCTCCACTCCACTCTCCGCCGTTTCTGCTGACGCCAAAAACACAAGTCGTCTCGGCTCTGCACAGAGGATGAACAGTGGATGAGGCTTGGGGTTATTTCCTCCTTTTAACACACAGCGTTGTCAAGGTTGTAGGGCAAACCTTGACTCCTACACTGACCCACGTCTCCTCTGAAATATCAAGTTACTTGCCTTTTCCATCAAAGCAAAAGCCCCGAATGGAGAAAGACCGGGATCTTACTGGGAAGAACAGCGGTGGAACAAAGAGAAGTGAAAACAAGCTGAACTGTGGATTTTTCTGGCTGTGACCAAGCTGGCAGAAGACTGTCAGGCTCTCTGCGTACACTCTGCCTTCTGCCCGGAGGTTTCGCTTTATCTCGCAACTAGAGAGAAAAGCTTCAGTGCTCTAAAGGGTGATGAAGTGCACATTTTTTATGCAGCTTCCTCTGAAGAAAAGACGCTTTTTATCTTGATAATCATCTTTCACTTGTCATGTTAAATCAATACTTTATAGCTGCAAAGAAGCATCGTGTGCAAATCTTTTTTGCCTCTGGTTTCCATTCACCATCTTTCAAACTTTCCCTTTAACTGTTTCCTTTCCATCTCTCCTTTCTTCACTCTCCAATCCCGTTCTCTAACGTCTGGATCAGCTTTCTTTCTTCCCTCTCTGGCACTATTCCGTCCTTTTTCCTCATACTTCTATTTTCACATACTCATTTTCATGGTTTCTTTCTCCATGTCAGATCAGCAGTTTTCCTTTCCTCTTCTTTTGAGTACAAACTACACCTGCTCATGCATACTGCAAACAGTCTTGTTTAACTGCGATCCCTGCCTCCATCTCTCACACGACTCGCTCTCTTTGCATATTCTCTGATTTACCCCACAACAACCTCCTTTGTCCTGACACGATGTACTCCTCAGAGGAGCAATGGAACTCCACTGAGCAGGTGGGGGTCAACGGATCAGAATCAAACTCCTCATATGGAAGACATGTGGACGATGTTGAAGAGGAAGGAGATCAACATCCTTTTCTCACTGATGCCTGGCTGGTGCCTCTGTTCTTCTGTCTCATCATGCTGGTCGGACTTTTGGGCAACTCTCTGGTTATTTATGTCATTTCCAAACACAGACAGATGAGGACAGCCACTAACTTCTACATAGGTGAGGAAAATCATTGTGAAATCCTTTGTTAAAGAAATTGTGAGAGAAGCCAATAAGGTAATGTGGGTCGAACCACATTTTATGTCTATAAACACATCTTCAAATGTCTTTTTCATCAGCCATTTAAACACATCTTTACATGCTTATGGGGGATTCAAAAGAAATTTGAATTATAAAAGGGGAAATTCAGGTACTTTGATCAGATATGAATTTCCCTTATTATATCTCAGCTGTTGCTGAGAATGTATCAATCCTTCATTCAAAGCCCTGTTGGTTTGATCCCAGTTTATATCATGGTGTCTTTAGGTCAATTCTTTTCATGATTTACATTTCATGTATCTATCCCGGGGAGTGTGTGGAGGAGGAACCAAGTTGCATAAGACTGACGATCTGACAGAAAGCTTAAGTAAAGAACACGGTGAAAAGTGGATGGAGACAGATGAGCTAAGGGTAAAGGCTATGAGTAAAAGTCAGAAACCAAAAACCAGTATCAGATAGAAAAGTAGGAACATAAAACAAGACAAATCACAGATAATGAAGTAACCAAAACTCCAGGAAGAAAATAAAACAATTCCACAAAAAATGAAGTTACGGCAGTGCAGATTTCGATAGAATATAAAATAAGGGATGCAAAGCTTGCTTCATACAGATTTAAATGAAATTTCTACAATTTTAAGAAAAATAATATGTCAGTTTTCATCTAATTCAGATATTGGTTTGTATTCCTCACCCTCAATTGATGATAATAGCTGAAAGTGGTTCCTGAACATGAACTTGAACTGACTGAGCATGTTAGCAAATGAGCAGCAGTTCTTCACTTGCAGACACATGGCAAATATGAAGACACAGTGAGCTTAAATGAGTTTGTCAGGCAGAAAAGATAAACAAACAAGACAACTAAGCTTTCATATAAAGCTTTGACTGAGAACTTAATCAAGACGTTTAAGATCAAAGTTTTAACATAACATTATCTATTTGTTTTGCAGAAGAACTTCCTGTTTTTTGCAGTATATGTGGAAGTATTTAGGAGAAATTAAGTCAGGAAGGAGAATTTAGAAAAAGAAAAACACAAAAGTGCTGCATTCTAGTGGCCCTGTGAGGAAGGGATCACTAAAAAATGTCTAACATTTTAGATCACAAACATTCAATTCCAGTATAGCCCGTATCATGTCTCCTCAGCTTTCTGTCAGACCGACGCCACAATTGCACGCAGCGCAAACATCACATGGTGCTGCAATCCAAATAAAAATCGTAGGTTTATGTGGCAACTGGCTGTGTGTGTGCATGTTGAAGCAACAGCCCATTATTATCTGGTGGGACCATCACTGGCCATTTTGCTGGTAGTTAATCCCTCAGGAATCAGATGCCATCCAAAACATTGCTTCAGTATCTCCAGTTTTTGTTAACATTAGCAAAGATTATTAAGATTCATTCAGTCCGCGTTAGAAAACGCGTTCTACCCTGACTGCCATCTAAAACAGTTCACATTACTGCAAAAACTATTGAGAGTCATAGCTTTAAAAATTAAAACAGACTTTTATCATTAGAAGACGAAAAAGGATTCTGATAATGTTTTCAATTGTAAAAACACGAAAGTGGCTCACCAGTCTCGGCTTTTTTCCTACGTTATCACATGTAAATCTTGGATCTGGCTGATTCATTTCTGTTGTCTGGCAGAGCTTTTAAATAAGCGGACACTCTTCCATGTGATTTGCTCATGATTATCTCACGAACAATTTGTGAGATAACAGGTAGATTATGAATATGTGGAGACATTTACATTGAAATGACCTTGTTTGTTGTTTTACTGAGCCGTGAAGACAGATAATGTGTGTGTGTATGTGTGTGTGTGTGTGTGTGTGTGTGTGTGTGTGTGTGTGTGTGTGT